CACTGCCACAGGGGCTGCAGCCTACGCCATCGCCGGCAACTCACAGCAGCCCAGCTCCAGGTTGAGTTGTTGTTTAGCATCTTAGCTGTGGAGGGCAGTGTCACTGGCCCTCATATGTGGGATCTGAACCGGGGCCCTGCTGCTCAGAGCTGGCGTCCCAAGCCAACTCTTAACCAGTGAGCCACTCGGCCGGCCTGAGGGGCCTGTGTTTTAACTGCTCACTTCCTGTCACTTCCTGGTTTGGTTCCTGGGGCCACCGATACAGAGAATCACAATCAGGGGGCTTAGAACAACAGAAGTTGATTCTCTCTCAGTTCTGGAGGTGAGAAGTCTGAGGTCAAGGTGCCCGAAGGGCTGTGCTCCCTCCAGGGACACCAGGAGAGGACCCTTCCTGCCTCTTGCAACTTCAACTTCTGGTGGCCCCCTTGGCTTCCAACAGCATCACCGCCGTCTGCCTCTGTCATCACATGGCTTTCTCCCCGTCGATGTAGGAAACGTCTAGTCCTGGAGAGAATTTTTATAGGAGTTTATTTGAGCCAAACTGATGGCATATGCTGGGACCAAGATCTCAAATGCCCCTGAGAATAGCAGCTTTGCAGCTTCTTTTATGCGTTAGAGGTTAAGGAGGGAACGGAAGGAAGAGGACATGAGGGTGGGATGGAGCACAGGAGAGTTAAGGTTATGTGCTCTCGCTTTACAAGGAGGGTCTGAAGGAGGCGTTTCGGAGGCGTGTGAACCTAGATACACAGGGACAATGGGCAGGGCTGCTTAAGGCCAAGATGAGCCTTTCAGTAAAGAAGTCATAGGCCTGGGCGGGATGACCGCTGTGCCCTGCCCAGCTGGGGGTTTACGATCAGATCACCCTGTGAGGTGACTTTCCATAGGACCCCTTTTTCGTCCACATCCCTTCATGTGCTTGTGTTGTCTCAACTCTCCCTCTCTTTTCTCTTATAAGTACACCTGTCTTTGGATTTAGGGCCACCCTCATCCAGGATGATGTCATCTCAAGGTCCTGAGGTCACATCTGTAAAGACCCTTTACTCCCTAAAGGTCACATTCACGGGGTCTGAGGCCTAGGATATGGACATATGTTTCCGGGGGGCCCATTCTCCCCACTGCAGCTCCCTAGGGCAAGACCCAGGCTGCTGGTCTGGCCACCCCTTATTTCCCTCTCCTCTCACCATACCCATCCCCTGTCCCCTCTGGCACATGTCTGTGTACCAGCTGCCTGACCTCAAAGCTCCATGAAGAGTCAGTGACATAGGAGGAGCACGTGTTAAGAGTCCCTCCTGCCTTTCTGCTGTCTCCTCTCATCTATTCAAAGTACATACGTTCAACAAAGTAAAGGGCGGAAAGAAACTTGATCGTCTTGGGGAGGCAGTGGTTCGGAATGCCAGCGGACTAGCTTAGAGGGGCTCCCACCGGCCACATTTGGGCATCAGATAAATCATGACAGTAAAGAACTGCAACCCCATGAATAAAAGAGGAACCGACGAGCCCACACTGATGATCAAATAGTTAAATAAATACATGAGAGAGAAGGAGGTCCCTCCTTACAGAAGTTCAGCTAATAAATGTAGGTGGACCGATGGCTTCAGAAAAATCACCATTTGGCAACCATCCTAAGAACTGCTTCAGGAAGGACAATCAACAGCATGCAGCTAAATTTGTGGGTGAACTTGGCAGGAGCAACAAGATATCTACAGTGTCTCCCCACAAGATACTTAGTAACATGCAGTGCAGACGCCAGGCAGGGCCACTCACCCATGGCATCTCAGCCACCTTCCCTCAGTGCAGACTTGACCGCTTGTGTCCCTGAGGTTTGTGGGCGTACTGGTGACCATCGGGTGACTTCACCAAGGAAGAAGGCAGTGCTGGTGAAGAACATCCTTCTCCCCGGAGGGAGCGTGGACCCAGGAGGTCCCCTTCGCATGTCTAATGCGCTCTTTTCTGTCACAGGCTGTAGCAAGGTGCTGTTGAGGCCCCGGACATCGGAGGAGGTGTCCCACATCCTCAGGTAAGGAGCCCCCAGCTCCCTGCCTGCCCATGCCTCCCTGTCGTTCATTAGCAGTTTCCTCATGAAGACACAAAGGCACAGACCCCATGAAGTTGGGAGCCTGCTCAGGGCCAGGCCTGGAACCTCAGGACCTCGGGGCGCAGGGCCCGGACTGGCATGGGAGTGGCTGCAGACTTATGCGTGTCAGGGAAGGAAATAGACCTTCTCTTCAAATATGCATTCTTTGATTTTTTACATCAAAAAATTATGTTTATTATAGAAAAAATGGAAAACATAGAAAACTGTAAAGAAAAAAATGCAAAAACAACTAATTATTTCACCCCCAAAGATAAGGACTGATGATATTTTGGTTTGTTATGTTAGTATCTTTTCTGCATGAGGGTAGTTTTAAATGTTATCACATTGTACCTAGGGCAAGCACGCTGGGTCTCCAAAAATTCTTATCCCTCAGGGCCTTGATCACTGCTCTCAGAGCCAGGCATCGGCCTGGAGCGTGTCCTCAGGAACAGTGGTGTGGGCATGGGGGCAAGGGGCCTGACATCCCTCCTGTGCTTGTCCCAGGTACTGTCACGAGAGGAACCTGGCTGTGAACCCGCAGGGGGGCAACACGGGCATGGTGGGGGGCAGCGTCCCTGTCTTTGACGAGATCATCCTGTCCACTGCCCTCATGAACCAGGTCATCAGCTTTCATGAGGTGTCCGGTGAGGCTGGGTTGCCTGTCGCTTCTGGGTGGTGGGGGGCCTGGGCTCCGGAGAGAAAGGACCAGTGGCTGCAGCTCCGAGCACAGCTCCATCTGCGCCTGGCCCTCTGGGCGTGTCCGCACGGGGTATTGTTTAGTTGGTCACTTAGTGACTTACACGGTGGGCTTGAGGTGGGCTTGAGGTGAAGCGGGATGGGCTGTCACTGTGGCCCCTTCTGACTCTGACATTTTCTGGCCGTGACTGCCTTTGCTGGGGTGTGTGAGGTCGCATGGTATAAAGGAGCCTCCTGCTCAGGGGCTCGCACCATCATGGCCTTTGCCCCTCTGACGGGACCTTTGGGTCGGATCACTCTGTGGTGGGGGCAGCTGGGCACTGCTGAGCAGCATGCTTGGGCTCCACCCACTGGATGCCAGCAGCACCCCCCAACTAAAAAAGGCCCCAGACTTGTCACATGTCCCCTGGGGGCGGAATCACCCCCCGTTGAGGGCCACTGCCTTATAGCAGTCTTCTTTCTGCTCCCTTCCACAAGCGTGTGTGTTTCTTCTCTTTTTTCACCTTACCAATTTTTCCTCTTTTTCACGGCACTCACAGAGATAACTTCTGGGGGAGACATGGGGCACACACTTTTTTTCTGGGCCTGGGTCCCAGGGTGGTTTACCCCTCAGGGCTCCCACATGAGCCTCCCTTGCCCTGAGCCGAGGGCACCGCGGTGGCTTGGTTGCTCGGCAGGGATCCTGGTTTGCCAGGCAGGGTGTGTCCTGGAGGAGCTGAGCCGGCACGTGGAGCAGCGGGACTTCATCATGCCGCTGGACTTAGGGGCCAAGGGCAGCTGCCACATCGGGGGCAACCTGGCGACCAATGCAGGCGGCCTGCGGTTTCTGAGATACGGCTCACTGCACGGGACTGTCCTGGGCCTGGAAGTGGTGAGCTGGGTGCCACTGCTGCCCCCCCGTCACAGTTCCAGGGCACCAACTCTTCTAGCCTTTTCCTAGCAGTCAGTGCGCTCGTGAGGCCCCTGAGTGTCAGCTCCAGGCCATGTGCCCTCGGGCAGGGGTCTTAGGCCTCATTCCTTCTGGGGAGGCCCATGACTGCATGGACACAGGGTGGTATGGCGTCTGCCATAGGGGCTGCTCTCTTGGGCCCCAGGCAGCGCATGGGCATGAGGCCACCTTGGCGGGCAGGGCCATGTCCTGGTTTGGAGACCCAGGTTTCTGTCGTTCCTGCTGGGACGTGTGGGTTGCACACAGCGCCCACTCGGGACCGTGCCGTGGCTTCCTGAGAAACCAGGTGCGTCCGTGGCCTCCCTGTCCACGTGAGGTGCTCAGGGCGTGAGCAAGTTCCGTGACCCGGCGACATTCCACCGGGTCCGGCTTCCAGGTTGGCTTTGTGCAGAGGAGTGAGGGTCGGTGGACCTTTAGTTACTCCATCGCTTGCCACCCTCCATGGGCAGTTGAGTACATTTCCCTGAACCCTCACCGGCCCGCGTAGCACACCTGTGGGGTTCTGAGGTGTGGAGCTTCCTGTCCTGCTACCCAAGGATGGGACAAACACACAACTGCACGTTGGACTGCCATCCATTAAATCACCAAGTCCAATAGCTTTGTTTCCTGGCCAGCTGCACATTATTTTTATTGTAAGTCACTTGTCATACTTATCAGGTGTGTCCTGCTCACCCCCAGGTATGCCCTGTTCCACGCCCCTGGGGAGTGCCCTGCTCACCCCTAGCTTCCCTTGAGAACTGGGCCCTGATTGTGTGTGGGGGAGCTGGAGGCGTAACTTCACCCCAGCTGGGAAGACAGTCCTTCTGTCAGCCTGACTGGGTGACTTCAGGCCCCCACCCTGGGGCCCCCTGCATTCCTGGACCAAACTGGGGTGAGGTGGGGGGCTCATGGCTGGCTCAGCTTCCTCAGGGTGCTCTGGGCTGGTCACCCCCACCCCGCCCCAAGCAGGGGCGCCTGCTCAGCCTGTGGGCTGGTGTGTAAAGGGCTGTGTTCCTCTCCCGGCCCCAGGTGCTGGCCGACGGCACCGTCCTGAACTGCCTCACCTCCCTGCGGAAGGACAACACGGGCTACGACCTGAAGCAGCTGTTCATTGGGTCAGAAGGCACCCTGGGGGTCATTACCGCCGTGTCCATCTTGTGTCCGCCCAAGCCCAAGGCCGTGAACGTGGCCTTCCTCGGTAGGTGGGGTGCTCACCTCTCCGCTGGAGACTGCTGGGAGCAGGGTGCTCCTGGCTGCCCTGTCATTGGTGCTGGGGGAGGAGGGCGAGGGACGGAAGGGGACCCCGTCGGATGACCCTTCCTGTTTCTCCTGGCTTCTCTGTTTCCAGAAGGACCCAGGACCTGGCCTTGGTCTGGAATCAAGCCTCTCGGGCTCTGAGCAGAACACACTTGATTCTGTAACAAAACTGGGGCTTTGCTCATCTCTTTCACCCCACTTTGTCATTTAAGTAGCTTGTACTTGAGATTCCTAGGGCGATGGTGTCATTTGGCACAAGATCAGGGACACCGCGCTTGGTTTCTGTGGGTGAATCAGTGTGCACCCGTGGGGGCCGTCCTGCCCTCTCTGGCATGCATTTCTGTCATGGGAGCCCTTGCGACCACGGCCCTTTCGGCCGCGGCTCAGGGTCTCTGCTTCCCTTGACTTTAAAAATGAGCTCGTACCTACCTCCTTCAGTTGTGCGCCTTCATCTGCTCCCAAATCCTCTCTTCATTCGTTGGGGTAGGTGCATCGTAGCGTTGCCTCCTCTCCTCGCTCAGGAGTTACGCCAACCAGCAGTCTTCTAGAGGTTTCTGCAGGCACTAAACCTGCCAATCCAGTCAGTCAGCACCTTTCCCGGCTGGGACAGTCAAGGATCCTGAGTGCAGCCCCCCCTGCCCCCCACAGGGTCCTGGGCCCTTCGCACCTGCCCACACGCCCCTGCACTGGGCCCCATAGCGACCTCACGGTGTTGAATGAGTTACGAGCACCAGGGAAAGCCTCAGCTCTGCTTGTAGTAAGAGGAATGCAATGAAGCCGTTTCAGGGCCTGTGTGCAGCCGTCCCCGTCTCGTCTGACTTCCCGCCACCTCCCCAAGCACCGTGAGCCCTCCAGGCCAGCACTGTCTGCCTTAACCTCTGATGCCCATGATGTACTTGTTGGCTGAGCAGTGGGTGTTTCCCTGGGCAGTGCTTCTCCCACTCCCCTGGGAGCCGGGTCGGTGGCTGCTTCGAAGGGGACCTGGGAGGGTGTGGACACAGCTGTGGGCTGGCGTGGGCCTGAGTGCTGTGCTCTGTTGCAGGATGTCCAGGCTTTGCTGAGGTTTTGCAGACGTTCAGCAGCTGCAAGGGCATGCTGGGAGAGATCCTGTCGGCGTACGAGTTCATGGATGCTGAGTGCATGCAGCTGGTTGGGCACCACCTCCATCTGGCCAGCCCGGTGCAAGGTACTGCCCGCCACTCCTCCTATGCCACCTGACGCGGGACGGCTCGGGCTGTCCTCGAAGGAGGAGGCGGGAAGGATGGTGTCCATGCCGCCGTAGTTGAGGTATTGCCATGATGGGGTGAACACGGAACTCCCTTTTACAATTGCTGTAAATGCGCCCTGCGCTTAGTTCCGTGAACGGCCCATTGTGTTGTAACTCTGGGGTCCTGGGAAAAACCACGAGGCCTCGTCACAAGTGCTCTCCTATCTCCACGACTGGGAAGCGCCACTCCATGATGGGCTCGCCCTCGGACCACAGCAGGAGCGAATGAGGGCAGCACGCCTGGCTCCTCGTCACCGCTGCGCGTGATGCGAGGCGGAATCTGGGAGGCAGTTTGCATCGTGAACCTAGAGGTTGAAAATATGCAGCTGTAGGTGTTGATGACTTTATTTCTGAGATCTGCCCTAAAGAAACAGTCACGGTCTTAGGCTGCCCTGGCAGAACACCGCAGGCTGGGTGGTTGAAACAAAAGAAATTTATTTCTCACGCTTCTGGAAGCTGGAAATCCAAGCTCAAGGTGCCATCTGGGTTGGTTTCTGGTGAGCCTCACTTCCTGGCTTGCAGATGGCCACCTGGTCACTGTGTCCTCATAGGGTGGGCGGAGAGAGCTCTCTGCTGTCCCTTCCTCTTGTAATGAGGCACCAGCCCTACAAGACCAGGGCCCCACCCCTATGACCCCACTTAACCTTCATTACCTCCTTAAAGGCCTCATGTCCAAATAATCACATTGGGGGTGGGTTAGGACTTCACCATGGGAATTTGGGGGGGCACACAGTTCAGTCTGTAACAGTTATAAATATGGAAAGATGTTTATGCTCTGAAATTTTAATGAGATGCTACTTTTAGTATAATAAAATAGGAAATGACCTAAACGTCAGTGGTAAGGAAATGGGACGTATACAACCACTGGAAAGGTGGAGGGCCCCTGGGCAGACGGAGGGTCTCTGGGGAGAGAGAGGGTCCAGACTGGAGCGCTGCGTGCTGTGTGAGAAGCTGCTCTAACAACGTTTAGGGCCCAGGATAGGCCGCCCGTGTTGGACAAAGGCTGAGAGGAGTGTCGAAACAATGACAGGCTGTGTTTGGCGAGCTGGGAGATCTTTTTTCATTTCTACTTTCCTTTGTTTTCCAAATCTTTTTTATAACCATGTTTGACCTTTATAATGGGGAAAAGCCCATAAAAACATAAAGGTGCTCAAGTGTTTAGTGTGACCCACGATAAATTTAGGCGCAGAATTTCTGTTTCAGCATGAAAAATGCCAGTGTTTGAAAGACACTGACTCTCTTGGTGGTGGGATGAGGCCGCATTTTTTCTGGAAGAAACTTGAAGGTAGCAGGAACAGTGACAGTCAGTGAGTTTTCTTTACTGACATCAATAAATGTGAACAAAATATGCAGTAGCCACAAAATACAAGCTTAGATTTTGTGAAGTAAATCAGTAACGCACATATTTTTAAACTTCAAACGAGATGTTTGTGGTGAAAAGCATGTGCTTCTCACATTAGCACTCGCGGGTTTGCGGTTGTCGTGGGCCTTCGCAGGCAGGTGGCCTCTCGTCCAGCCACAGCCTCCTGTGGCCGGCGGTTTGGTCAGAGTGGCCTCCTGCGAGGTGTCCTGGCCCATCCAGGCACCAACAACGAGGGCTTCACAGCATCACCGGGTTGCTGTTTCTGTGTTTCCAGGGGAGCGTGGTTTGTCACTGTGAAAGGCCTATTTTAAGTGTCTGAGGTCCAGCCGGAGCTCTGTCGGCAGCACACAGGCCACCAGAGGTGACTCTCGACTTGCTCTCTGCCCCTCCAGAAAGTCCGTTCTACGTCCTGATCGAGACCTCGGGCTCCAGAGCCGAGCACGATGCCGAGAAACTGAGCATTTTCCTGGAGCAGGTGCTGGGCTCCGGCCTGGTGACCGACGGGACCCTGGCCACCGATCAGAGGAAGATCAAGGTGTGTGTGCCGCTGGTGCCTCCCTCCCTCTGCCCGCCCACTTGTCTGGGACACGTGGAGGGCGTCAGGTGTCTGGCTGAGGGAATGGGTAGTGGCTGGACATCAGTAGGTGTCCAGCTTTGAGGGGAGAACGTCTTTGGAGTCTTTCAAAGCAGGGGGCTGTGGGCCTGTCAGCCTGATGGCTGAGCCAGTCGTGGGGCTGGGCATTTTCTGAGGAAAGAGCGACTCAGCCTCTGAGGCCAAAGGATAGAGGTGGGCGCATCATCACCCTCACATAAGCAGGGGGTGGAGCTTCAGGCCTTGGGAGCCGTTGTCACCCCATGGTCCCAGTGGTCCCCGGAGCTGCAGCATGTAGAGCGGCCAGCAGGGGGCAGGATGGGGACCGGGTGGGTATGATACGGGCCCTCTTGAGGGTGACTGGGGAGCAGCGTCCCCGGCTGTCTCAATGGTCAGCTTCAGGAGTTTGTGATTAAACCTTTTTCTTTACAATTACGTTTACGTTTATTAAGTATTATACATAAGGAGTTAGGCTCCCTGTCGAAGCCCACCAGCCATGTGCAGCCTTTCCTGTGAGGTGTGGCCGCCCTTGGCTGCTTCTCTGCCCACGTGTCTTCTGACCGGGCCCAGTTACCCAGCAGCAGACAGCAGGAACAGGGCGCCACTGGGGTCCAGGTTACTGCTTGGAGCTGGTGGCCAGAGCACGCCCCATGAGCCGGCCTGCCTGGGGTGGAGGCCCCGCCTGCAGAGGGCAGGCTGCTGACCTCTTACCTGGGTGGGTAGCAGGAAGGCGCTGATGCCGGCCCCTCGGCTGCTGGCTCCACAAGCAAGTGCTCAGACCTTGGTGGCCGGAGGCCCAGCCTGGCCATGCGGAGAGGGGCCTGGCCACCTTCCCTCCCGGGCGGGGTGGGGGTTGGGCTGATGGCCCTGAAGGGACATTTGAAGGCGAAGGCTAGGTGGAGGCTGCCTGTGTAGGAGCACAAGGCCTGAGGGGCTCCAGCCACCAAGCTCCAGGACGTCCCTGTGACGTGGGACAGGAGCAGGAGGCAGGGGGTGGGCAGGTCAGCCCTGCAGGGAGTGAGCCGGGGGTCCCTGCAGCTTGGCTGGCTGTGGCGGGATGTTGCTGGCCTCTGGGTGTGTGTGGAGGGTCGGCTCACAGGGCGACCGGCGGGCTGTAAAAATCAATGTGAGAATTGGGGAAACCCATGGTAGGAAGGAATTGTTATTTTTAGGGGTGATCATGGCACCATGATTATGTTAAAAAACAAGAGGAGAGTCCTTACCGTGTAGAAACTTGGCTGTGACATTTACTGAAATGGTGGGGTGTGTGAGGGGCAGAAGTGAGGAAGAGACCTGGGCGGGACAGCGGGACCCAGTGGTGACATGCATGGTGCTCTGTTCTCTGCCCCCTCACGAGGGCATCAAATGTTCACAGTGACCAGTTAACCCAAACAAGTAAACCACAGATGGGATTATGTGGAAGGACAGCACTGCAGTGACAAGCCCCCAGACCCTGTCCCCAGGCCCCCTCACCCCCCAGTATCCCTGCCAGACGCCAGCACCCTCTGTCGCTCCTGTGCCCCGTGTGTCCTCGTGTGTCCCTGGGCCATGGGACCCGTCCTCTCTGTCTACAGTGCTTCTCAGGCACCTGCCTGCCCTGCCCCACCTTCGCTCAGGGCCCACCCTCAGCCTTCCCAGCCCCTGGCCTGTCAGGCAGCCCAACCAGCCACTCCCACCCATCACCCCAGTGTCCTCTGTTATGGCCTGTCCCCTTCTGGAAAGGGGCTCTCGGTGCCTCAGTCGCTGGCACTTGGTGCTGTCCTGGGGCGAGCCTGGGACTGCGTGTGGGACCTTGTCAAGCATGGACTCTGGGATTGAAGCCCCCAAAGCATCCACGCTCTAACGCCCATGACCATTGACACTTGTTGCCCTTGGGTCTCATTTTGCCTGTCCCCTCCCATGTGTCCTAGGCGCTGTGGGCCCTGAGGGAGAGGATCACAGAGGCGCTGAGCCTGGACGGCTACGTGTACAAGTATGACGTGTCCCTGCCCGTGGAGAGGCTCTACGACCTTGTGACCGAGCTGCGCGCCCGCCTCGGCCCACAAGCCAAGCACGTGGTGGGCTACGGCCACCTGGGTGAGCACAGCCGGGCAGGTGGGTGGCACTTAGCCGAGGGTCACTCAGCGTCACGGCGCATGGGGTCTGGACACCAGCAGCACGCTCCATGCTTCGAATGGTGATGGAGGCAACCTGGGGTGGAGACAATCCCCACCACTCTCCTGATGCTTTGGGGTATTTTGGGAAACACTGCCATCATGCAGTTTCGGTGGCAGAGCCGTGGGCGTGGAGAACTCCCCTGGGGCACGGTGGGGCCATGACCCTGCACCCCAGAGTCTGAGCAGGGACCTGTGAGACGGCCGAGGGTACTGCTGCAGTTTATTAGAAGCCACGCGAGAGAATCGTGTGACCTGGAATGGGGTGGGCTTCCCACTATGACATAGGGGCTGTGAGGCATAAAGGAGGGGACTGACCACTTTGACCAACCGCAAGTGCATGCTTCTGTGTCTCCAACAACCCGAATGGGCACGATGGCCGGCTAGCGTTAGGGGAGGAGGCCTGGGGAGGTGGGCAGGGTTAGAGCACAGTGTGAGAGGGCGGTGAGGGCACCAGCCATGAAGTGGGCTGAGGCAAGGAGGCCATCCTCACCCGCAATAGTGGGGCTGGGGCCACCGCCCAGAATGCTGGACTCGAGACCCAGCCAAGTCCTCCTCTGGGGACACTGACTTTAGTCTCTGTGACAGACAGGGACACCATTGCGGTCAGAGATGGAGTGAGGGTTCTCCTTCTAAAATCAAGCGGGAATGTTGAGTGTGTTGATGCTTTCTTTCTCTGAGCCACCGAGATGACGGGTGCTTGTCTGTGACAGGGAGCAAGTGACACTAGATGCTCCGAGGCTGACAGGGCTATAGTCCTGGGATGAGCCCCTCGTGGCCATGTTCCTTCTTGTGTCTTGTTTGATCCATTCATTTGCATCCTGTGTAGGATTTTTCCAGGTACCTTCACGGGCGATGTTGTCCCGTAAGGCTCTTTCTCAGCCCATGCCGATGTCACCCGTTGCCCGTTGCAGGAAGTCTGTGGAAGGCTGCACTCACCTCCTCGTCCAGTGTGGGCTGGAACTTGCCAAAGGAGACAGAGGGCTTGAGGCCGCGTGCGTGCGCGCGTGTGTGTGTGTGTGTGTGTGTGTGTGTGTTTGGGGGGTTGACCACAGACCGATTTCTGTAATGACTTCAGGACTGTTGCAGCTTTCCTTTTCTTCTGAGTTGGTTTGGGCGATTTTTTTTGTAGGTATTTGTCCATTTCTTCTAAAATGTCAGATGTAGACATCACGCTGTTCGTGACAGTCTTCCACTTCCCTTGCCTGGTGTCGGCGCCTGTGAGGTGGCCCCAGCTGCCCCCAGAGAACCAGTGCTCAGCTCTGTTGATCCTTTCTCTTGTTTGTTTCTATTTCATTGTTTTCTGCTATTACAATTATTATTTTCTGTCTCTATTTTTAGGTTTATTCTATTGCTTTTCTAACTTTATAAATTAAGTGCTTAGCTTGTTGGTTTTCAGCCTTTTCTCTTTTCTAGCATAAGTATTTAAATTTCCCTCCAGTACCACCTTAGCTGTTGGTTTAAAATTGTATCTCAATTTATCACCTTGGACTCAACACGATCTCGGAAGTCCCCCAGCCAGGACAGTAGCTCTCACTGAGCCACACACACCTCCATGAACCGAGGGACCGCTTCCACCTGCCTTCCACCTGTGGGCACTTCAGCGTGGAGGGCGGGAGCATCGGTATGTCGGATGCCTTTAGCCACTTGCTGGGTCCCCTGTCAGTGCTGCTGGCACGCCCTGTGCTCTGTCCCATTCTGAGGCTGCCTGCAGTCCTGGCCTCAGCCCCAGGCCGAGGGCGACCCAGCCAGAGTGGCTCCAGCGTTTGTCACTCAGCCTGAGCTGAGTTCCCAAGAGCTTTCACTTGCTGGTGCTCTCACTTCAGCAGCTGAAGGTGCCCCTGTGTTTGCAACAAGGGCCCACAGTTGTGATGGGGCCTTTGTCACGCCAGGCCTGTGTCACACCAGGCCTTTGTCATACCGAAACTCGGCCCAGCGGCCCACTGAGTGGTCGGTTTCCATAAGTGTAATGAGTACTTGAAAAGAATGTGCCATCTGAAGTTGGTGGAGCCCATGTCTGCACAGATGCAGCAGATAAAACACTCACACTCTTTAATCTCCTACATCCTGCCCGGCTGTCAACCGAGAGATGTGTCAGATCCCCCCGTGTGGGGGACGAAGCGCTCTCTCCTTGTAGCCCTGCCAATTCTGAAGATAGGAGATCAGACCTGTCGTTTCATTCTGGTAAACAGAATCATTTATCACCACTGGACTGTCGCTTTTTTATCTCTAGAGTTGCTTTTGCCTTGAAGCCTCCTTTGTTTGAACGTTACAGCAACATTAGCTTTGCTTTACTTGGTATTTGCCTGACACGCTATTTTTCCTCCCGTTACTTTTAGCTGTTTTCTATCCTTTTGAGATAGATGCATGTCTTGAAGACAGCATATACCTGGGGTTTCTTTCTCATTGTTTGCCAGTCTTTAAATAAATACATTTAGTTTATTTACAGAGGGCAGGGAAAGCTTAACTTTTCCCTCTCCCCTCCTAAGTTCTTTGCTGGGGCCCCATAAATTAGATCCGCAAAACACAAGAGTAACAAGAAAAAAGCAAGTTCATTAACATGTGCCTCTCACAAGGAGGCTCAGCAATGCGCGACCCAGAGCGTAGTTACAATCTGGCCTTCCACAACATCTCTGCAAAGGACAGCGTGTCCTTAGAGAAGTCACGAAGGACGAGGACTGTGAGCGTGTAGGGGAGCAAACTGTGGGGCAGGAAGCGCATTATGTAAATTCCTCTGCTGTGTGTCCAGGCTGAGCAGTGCCCACTGTTGTCTCTGGTGATTGTCTCTGTCCTTCCAGGTGGGCGGGGGGGGGGACGCCTTTACAGGTACATCCTACTTTCAGGTGAAACGGGTGGGCCAGGGGGCTTTTCTTCTATCTGTTTCTTTTCAGTGGCTTTCAGCTCAAAATACTCCTTGTGCCAACATGTGCTCCTCTTCGCTTACATAATTTACATGGGCTGTCATCACTGGTGCTCCATTTGGATTTATTTGCTTCATCCTGTTTCGGGCCTTCTATTCATCTCTCATTTCTTTTCTATTTCAACCTTCTTTTCCTCATTAAAATTGTTTCCATTTACCAGTTAGAGGATTGTGCATGTTCATCTCTCTCTTCTTTTGGTGCTGGCCCTAGGATTGTAGCCTATCAGGGTCTAAAGTATTAGTAGCCTCCTTCCAAACGATGTGTGAGGGTCACGTTTACGTGTCAGCTTGGCCAGGCCACGTCCTCGGGTTTGATCAAGCACTTGTCCACATGCTGCCGCCAGGGCGCGTTTTACATCAGGCACCGTTTCAGAGTGTGGACTTTGAGAACAGCAGGTTGTCTCCATACGTGGGTGGGCCTCATCCAAGCAGTTGAGGCCTGAAGAGGAGAAAGACTGAGATCCCTCAGAGGGGAAGGAATTCTGCGTCCAGACGGCCTTTGGACTCAAGCTACACCGTCCGCCCTTCCCAGGGTCTGCAGCCCGCTGGCCCACCGCGGACCTCAGACTGCCCGTGCCCACAGCTGTGCGAGCCAGGCCCCTCCCTCCCTCTGTACACACCTGTCGTTTCTCTGTGCCTGGAGAGCCCGGACTGTACATGGTGCGAGGACTTGCCGACCTGTAACTGGCTGTTGTCTCCCCTCCTGTTTATACACCACTTCTGGGGCACAGTTTAGTTCCGTCTTGCTTGGGCCTCGTGTTGCGTGCTGTTGCTGTCACTGCGTGTGTCACTGTGTCTGCGTTCACCCCACCTCCAGTCCTTCTCTGCTGGTTTCACAATCTGAATCTCCTCCTTTAGGATGCCCTCCAGTGACAGAACGTCACAGATTTTGTTTGCCTGAAAACGTATTGATTTTGTTCTTAAATTGTTTGCAGTGGATTTCAACATTTCTAGGTTGATGGTTCTTTTCTCTGCAGAGTGAGAGCCGTCCTGCCATCTGACCACTGTTGCTGATGAGTTCCAGTGAAAGGAATGTGTTTTTTCCTGATGCTTTTACAATCTGTCCTTTGTGTCTGGGGTTCTTTTTTTTTTTTTAAGATTTTATTGGGGAAATGGGGGGAGGGGAACAAATTGCTGTTTTAGTTCTTCAGTCTAGTTGTGGAGGACGTCGCTTCACTGGCCCATGTTGGTATTATCATTGCGCTCTTCCCGGGTGAGGCAATTGGTCGCCGGTCATTGGACAGCCGCTCACGTAGCCCACTGCAGCCCACTGCAGCCTAGGATATCGCTGGCGACCCACAGGAGCCCAGCTCCAGGTCGAGCTGTTGTTCACCATCTTAGCTGTAGAGGGCGCAGCATCATTGGCCCTCAATGTGGGATCTGACGGCAGCCCTGCTGCTCAGAGCTGGTGCTCCCAAGCGAGCTCTTAACCAGCTGAGCCACTCGGCCAGCCTGTGTCTGGGGTTCTTTAGTTTCCCTGTGATTCGTCCATGTGTCCCACCAGGGTGGCCTTCTGTGTGTCCCGCCTCAGGTCCTCCAGGCTTAGGTTGTAAAACTTGCTCTACCATTGTGTCTTCAATTGCTGTTTCCCGTCCCCTCTTCTCTGTTTCTGGAACCCGGTGCTCGCCGTGCCCTACCCCCTTCGGGTCACACTTCTTCCCTTCTCCACATCTCGGCTTCTGTGTTACATTCAGGTCATTTTGTTTGGTTTGTCTTCCAGGTCACTAACCTCTTTGCTGTGTGTAATATCCAGTTAAACCTGTTCTTTGGGTTTTATGTTTTAGCAATTCACATTTTTTATTTCTAGAAGGTTGATTTGGATATTGAAAAGCTTTGCCTGGCCAGTGTTTTATATTTTTTATTTCTTTAGACACACAAGACATGTATATTCTGTTTCTGGAGATGACAGGATTTTGAGTCCTCGTGGTCGGATCTGCTGGTTCTTGCTGATGGTGGCTTCTTTCTTGTGCGGGTGCAGTTTTTGTCCTTGGCTCATGTGTCTTAGGCTTTTGTCTGTGGGACTGTTTGAGGCCTGGGTTGGTGGTGATTTGCTTGTCTGTGCAGCAGCGGGGAGGGTGGGAGTGGGGATCTGGGCCTCCCAGCCCCCACCCTCTTGAATCGTCGTGCTCTGAGCTCAGTGTCTGTACTGTGAGTTCTGGCTGCGATCTGTGTGGCTGGTTGACGGCTGCAAGCACCCAGGCGTCAGTGGAGAGGGGTCCCCCCCGCACTGCGCAGGTCCCTTGGTGACGCTTTTAGTAGCCTTTGCCCTGAGAGTGTCGTTGGGGACCACATTTGGTGGGAGAGGGTTCCCTGTTGTGCGGCCTGCATTTGAAGCACCTGGAAGGAGGGAGGGGTGGAGGAAGCGCAGGTCACTGGGCTGGCGGCCCCACGCCTGCCCCGCGGCTCCTGTGCTGCCCGAGGATTTGCTGTCCTATCCCAGCATCTAGGAACCCCTTCTGCTGGCCTCTGGGCTCCCCGCCCCTCAGGGTGGGCGGCAGCCTCACTCGGCCTGTCCCGCCGTCCGCTCAGCCCTCTCCGCCTGCCCAACCTCTGGGTCTGGGCGTGGGGCCTCTTCTCTGTCCGTCTGCGCTGGCTCCTGTGCTGGCTTTTCATGCCAGTCACACCCAGCACCTCCTGGATGTTACCTCCCAGGCCTCCCGGGCCAGCGTGGTTCCCGCCTCCCTCCAGCCCCTGGGCCCCAGGTCAGTGGCGAGTCCACTGCCTGCTGCTCCTCTTGTCCCCTCCCCCACCCACATGCCAGGCTCTCTCTGGCCAGGGTCCAGCCGGCTCATAGCCCAGCTCCCTGGGAACATCGACTTGGGTTAATGTCATGTCCGTTGTCATTGCTTTGGGACCCCCAAGGGACAAGGCGCGTAAGAGCCCGGCTGTTCCCAGGACAGAGCAGAGCGCATTCAGACCGTGCTGCAAAGCCAGGGCCCTGGAAGTCTCAGCGAGGGGGCCTGAGAGGGGGTGGCTGGGGGCCAGGACTTCGGGTAGGAGGTGTCCTAGTGATGGGGCAAGGCCCCCATGGTGTCCTGGGGGGATGGGACCATGCCGGTACTGTTGGAGATGCGAACCTGGGGACAGTCATCAGTGTGGTCCAGCCCTGGGGCCCTCAGTCAGTGAAGGCCCTGCCAGGCTGGCTGTCGGTCACGCTCAGTTGGGAGCCCTCGGCGGAGGCCATGTGGGTGGAGGAGGGTGGTGTTGTGGAGAACTGGAGTGAGAAGTGAGCTGTGACGCCCCCCCACCCCCCAGAAGAGGTCGCTTCTGTCACTGCAGGTCAGTGGCCAGCGATGTGAAGGGCTGGAACCAGGCTGAGGGCAGGAGGGGCCTCGCAGGTGGGGGCGGGTCTCAGGGCCCTGTCCAGCCTGACCCCGGGCCCTGTCCCTCCAGGGGATGGCAACCTGCACCTCAACGTGACAGCGGAGGCCTTCAGTGCGTCGCTGTTGGGTGACCTGGAGCCCTACGTGTACGAGTGGACAGCAGGGCAGCGTGGCAGTGTGAGCGCCGAGCATGGCGTGGGCTTCAAGAAGAAGGACGTCCTGGACTACAGCAAGCCGCCCGAGGCCCTGCAGCTCATGCAGCAGCTCAAGGCCCTGCTGGACCCCAAGGGCATCTTGAACCCCTACAAGACGCTGCCCACCCGGGCCTGATGCGGCCAGGGTCAGTGGGAGAGGCGGGGTGGCCTCGGTCCAGCCTCCTCTCGCCGTTGGGCCCATGAGGCTGGTGTGGCTCAGGGCTTACACCCCATGGAGCCAGCGGCAGGCACGGCGACCCCGCCTCCTGGTCAGAGGGCCAGGAGCTGGCTCTGCACAGCTGGCTCTCGCTCCTGGGCAGGATCCCGCCTTCGGCTGCGCAGGTTCTGTTGGGTGATGGGGGAGGAGAGGGCCACCCGGTGCTCTGCCCAGCCTCTGGGCGGGCACACCCCGTCCCTTTGTAGGTGGGCAGTGGAGCCTCTGTCGGCACATCTTGGACAGTTGTACCCACTCGGAAACAGACCAGATCGCGCCCGCCTTGCTTGTGGGCCCCTGGGTCCTGCCTCAGCCCTGGGACGGACATCGAGTTCCTGCTGCTGGGCCTGGGCGTTGCCAGTCTCCGCGGCCCAGGCCGAGGTGACGACCTCCACGTGGGCAGCCCAGAGCACCGGCCCCTCACCAGGTGCTTTACGGGCAACTTGCAATGACTGGCAGCTGGTCACTCTCAAACCAGAGTGACAGGAATGCACTGTGCCTTGAAATGTATCATTTCCCCCTTTTCTGGAAGGCCCATCAGTTGGAAAGCCAGTTGTTAGGGCTTAGGCGTTTATTTCTCGCAGTTGGCGGTTTGCTGTGATGTCTCCGTGGCATCAATCTTTCCGCTTCTCCAGCAGTGCCAACCATGCCCAGGGAAGCCCCGACAGGTACATGGCCCTCCTGTCTTCCTTCTTCTTCAGTGACTCTAACTCGGGTCATCCCTGTTGACCTGCCAGGGCTGTGGCGACAGTCTGGGGAGACACATGTTTCCTCACTTGGGCTGTCACAAACTTCCAGTAAAAATGGGAATTAATCAGGACAATCTCCTTGCTTCTGTTACTACAAAATTAACCTCCTAAAAGCCCACAGTACAGTGTGCGTGCTGCGTGCCCTAAGCAGCTCGACCTGGACCGAGAGTCACCCGGGCCTGATGCTTTTCAGGCCGGCCGTCCCCTTCCCTAGACGCCATCCCTGTCCCCACCGTGGGACTTGCAGTCGGTCTCATCGGGCCCATGAGGCTTAATGCCACACGGCTTTCCCAAAGTTGTCAGAGGCGGGTCAGTTCATGTCTGTAGTGACTTTCAATAATAGTTTCGTTACCAAGCAAGGTTATTTTGGAGAATTAAAATAATACATGAAATATTAAAAAGCCTTGAAATTTTGAGGTATTTTTCTGATAGAGTATCGGTGGGCCTTTGAGAAGGTGGCCCAGTGACTGGGACTGTAGGAAGTGGTCAGAGGGGCTTCCGTCTCCCTGGCCCCAAAATGTCAAAATGTGAAGTGGCCCCCGGTTCTCTCCTGGGGCTCCCCCTACAGGCCCACCTGTGCACACACACACACAGTATACACACCTGTGCACAGGTACCTGCACGCGGTACATGCACAGATAGGCACACTACATGCTGACATACACAGTACACGCACACACATGCACAGGTACACACTACATATATACACAGGCAGAGGCACACACGCAAGTTTGTCCCTAGGACGTGCATGGAGCACTGTCCGCAGGTGGCCAGATTGGGGCTGGCCTGTTGGAAAAGGAGGTGACATGTGCCTCTGAGACTCTGGACAGAGAAAAGGTGAGAAGAGGGCGAGGGGACCCCCCTGCTCCTGAGAGAGGTGCAGAGCCTCCCGCCTCACTTTGGGGAGGGTGCCCGGAGGTTGGGTAGGAACAAGGTACTGTGATCTGTACTTTTTGGATGCTTTGAACTTTTTCTTTTTTTGGCCAAGCCCATGTACACTTAAAAAAGAAACAAAAAAAACCAGGCAACAAGCTGACTCCGAGATCTGGGGGTGGGCTGGGTGTGAGGCCTCAGGGAAGTGCATCACCTGGGAGAGTCCAGCTCAAGTGGAGCCTCCTCTAAGGGCCAGGAGGCCCCACCCTTGCCAGGCGCCTGAGGCCACTGGGTCCTGTGGCTCTGGATGGGCCACACCCTGGCGGAGGTGTGTTTCCTCCTGGGGGTGTCTTGGCCCAGTAAGATTTCAGGGTGTGTCGCCTGTGACTGCCTCCCTGGGCTGGTAGCTGGCCTCTGCTCTGTCCCTTCTCTGTTCCCTCTCCTTCCTGCTCTGCCAGGATTTAAAATAAGGCCCCTTCTCCACCGGTCTCCAGCCGCCGGTGGCTGCCCCTGGTGCCCTGGGCCACTCCCGCCTGTGGCCCGCCTGCTTGCTGGCCAGAGAGCCGGCCTGCCCCATGGCCGGGGCCACAATGCCACCGTCCTTGGCTGGGTGCCCATGGGCAGCCCCCACAGTGGTCACGGCACAGGACAGACCCTGTGGGTGCCTGACACTCAGAGCCTGGCGGCTGGCCTTTCTGTCCATCCTCTGTCCTTCCGAGGCCAGCAAGTGGCAATGAGTGGGCCATGGGAGATGGGCGCGTGCCAGGCATTTCCTGCCATTGCGACCTCGAGGCTGGTGGGCACGGTGAGGGTGAGGAGCCTCCTGGAGCTCTCAACAGAGGGGGAGGCACCCACTGTTTTCTCGCTTGCCCTTTGCCTGTGATGTTTACCCGACACTGGGGGCCGAGGGGTGTCATGCCCTGCGTGGCAAGGGCAGATGGGACACGAGAGGGTGACGCAGATTGAATAAGAACAAGAGACAAAAGTCAGAGAAGAGCGAGACCACGGGACCCAGCCTGGAAGACTGAGCCCCGAATCGGGTCAACGCATGAGTTTTATTGAGATCCTACAAGGAAGTGAAACTGTCATTTTTCAAAGATCCATATGTCGTGCCTTAAAGCTGTTTTCCATTAACCAGCTCCTCTTGTATTCCAACAAATGCTATGCCTTCATACAGCTTTCACAACCCTCAGGACACTTTGTTACTATGTCCTTCCATATAGAGGAGGTGACCGATATCATTCCATCGGGTCCCAGGACTGCCAGGACACTGAGACACTCTCTCATGACCAACTGGGTCAGGGGCTAATGCAGCAGGGGCGGTCATGGAGGTAGCTGTAAGGCAACATCTCCCCCTTTCTGTTTTTGTAGAAGGAGAAACACGTTTCTTCATCTATGTCCCGCCGGAGAGTTTGTTGGCCACACCGGAGGACTAAACAAAACAAATAGAATAATGATTAGAAGTGCAAAGTCACCTGCAAATCCTCCACCAAGGTTTTTTATCCAACTGAGCGGATTCAAAGTAGACAATCCTTCTGCAGCCGCAGAAAGGGCATCCTCTCCAGGGAGGAGTTGAAGGTTAGCAGATGACATCTGGGCTACTTCTTGCTGTAATTGCTGGATATCCACAGAAACATGCACAAATGATAATTTTCGGAAAGAAGGGACGTGAGTCACATCCATTCGCCAAAGATCATTAGGAGCAAAGCCTCGAGGGTTGGTTCCCTCAGGGCATTCCTGAGAAGCATTAAGAATTTGGCAAGTTGGACAAGTTTGAACTACGCGTCTAGCTTGTTTATGAGTAATGGAAAATTTAGATTGGAGACCACCAGCATTGGTATGGGTTAGAGAGAAAGTGGGTTGCCTCAACAACCTGAGCATTTCCTACTAAAGAATCTGCAATAGCATTTCCACGCGTCATTGGACCTGGGAGGGTCGTATGAGCGTGAATATGAGTGATAAAAAATGGGTGTTGAGGGGCCGGCCGAGTGGCGCGATGGTTAAGAGCTGGCTTGGGACGCCAGAGGGCTGCGGTTCGGATCCCACATATGAGGGCCAGTTACACTGCCCTCCACAGCTAAGATGCTGAACAACAGCTCAACCTGGAGCTGGGCTTCCATGAGTCACCGGCGACGGCGTAGGCTGCAGCCCCTGTGGCAGTGGGTTGCCATGGGCTATCGTGTGTAGGCAGCAGCCAGCG